GATTATGTTCGAGAATCGTAGGAAGTGTATTGCGCATTTCACCGTTGGCGCTGTAATCTTAAATTTAAACTCAATACGCGCGCATTTCGCATGAAATGTTAACTTGGAATAAAAAATAAAAAACTCTAGTCCAGATCAAATACACAAAATTCACGAGAAATTTTTAAAAAAGAACAAAAATATTCATACACTAGATGAAAAATACTTTAAACTGTTATAATTTCTTGACAAAAAAATTATAGAACATTTATTTTGAAGAGTGAAGTTTCCACTTTAACAATCTCAAGTTTGTTTCGTTCAAAGATATTTATTTGCCAAATATGGCAACACTATCCATATTTTTTGATTTTAAACCTCATCATTAATAAACCTGCCTATTGGTAGGATATGACACGAAAATGTCAAGAGGGCAAAAAATCGTAGGACAAAAATATACATCGTACGTTAGGTCTCGTTTGTAGAATTTCTGAGAAACGAATTATTACAGACTTTGTGATTTATCGTATTTTAAATGCATCACACATTATCGACCGAGTCTTGGTTCTCTTCCTTCTACATTTATCGATCGAATTCTCTCCTGCGAGATAATCGGTATAGTAAAAAATGTAATTTCATTTGGAAATTGTCTTTCTTTTTCTCTCTTAGCTTCTGCACTTCCCATTTCGTTGATAATCAACAAAAATATGAAACTTTATATGTCATTTAATTTCTAATACGATTCTCTGCAATGTTGAACACGTTGAGGAAGTTAAATATGACCAGATGGGAAGCGTCGAAACTCTTAATTAAATTCAAGAAGTCTGCTACCAGGAAGTCAACGATATTTGTGAGCACGAAAACGCGGACTCAGCGGCATGGAGAGAAAGAGAGAGGAAGATACATACTCCGTTCGTGCCTGTATTCTCGGCGACTGCACACAAGTGCATCTCAAGTATCCAGTCAACAGTAAAAGTCTTCCTTAAACACTCGGTGCGCGTTTTAACGAGTCCCATTCAGAGCATCCCCCTGTTTCCATGCTTTCATCCTCCACGTCCCTCTTTTCTTCTTCTTTTTTTTTCCTCCCTTTCCTCTGTTACTTTCTTCTTTCTGCCTCCCCTACCTTCAGTGTTACACATTTTACTCGTCTTCCTTTTTTTCATTCGTTCTCATCATTTTTCTTATTTCACTCACGGCCGTATCTATTCTCTTCTTTTTTTTTCTATTCTATATTTCTGGTACTTTATATTTCACACAGTGCTTAAGTATATATTATCTCTGTTATTCAGAAGATTTTGAATGTTTTGTAATAAGTATCTGGTAATTTTTATAGATTAATTCCAAAGTTTGCCAATATGTTACAGTCAAATCTTATTATAGTACAAACGAATTTCAAGATATTAAAGTATTGCACGGTGAGCATTTTACAAGCTATTTTATTTTCTTTTAAACATACTACGTCCATCGTCCAGTATTTCTTTCATTTCTCTCACCACGTGCAGAATGATTCCTCTTGAACGAACGCCGTTTATATTGGCACTGAGAGAATCGAGGGTGCGAACTCGCTCTATGACGCTCCTTTGTATGCAAACAGGGTGCTTGTTTCTAAATTGGGTTGCAAGTCGAGCCATCGTTAATTAATATATCTCGCGGTACGACCGAATTAAGCTCGCTAAGCGAGACGAGTGGGAGGCTCAGGCTCCTCCACCATCCGGGTCCTGTATACATACGCAAGTGGTGGGGATTTGCCCGTTAGTCCGTTCGTTAAACGACCACCCTGGGAGTCATACCAGTCATAAATGGGCCGTCGCTTGAATACCACGTTTTGGGATACCAGGTTTTCATGATTCGTTCGTGACCGGCTTACCGATTCCACCTGGAGCTGTTGAAAATGAATTTTTATTTGCATTTTTTTCCGAGAAGCTTCTTAGAATGGCGAAAGTTTCTATGAATAGTGGCCTAAGATATGTACTTCTTCAGTTGGATTTCAAGAATTCAAACGATACGCGTACCGTTTAACTGGTAATTAACAATTCAATTAAACCGATCAGAAGCGTGCAATTACGAGCACTTGCAATTAATCTATCTGTATTTATTGCCAGGATGATACATAACCACTGAAAGCGTGGCTTCCTTCGGTATCTTAATAAATCTTCCGCTCACCTTTGCAGAACAGCTGTAATTATACCTATTTAGTCCGAGTAGGAATTAAACATGCTGCTGCTCATGATCTCCTTCTGGGTTATGTAAAATTAATTCACGAGACTCGATCTGACCTCTTCACGGGGACCCGCGGATTTCAACATCCCCTCTCACGCTTCAATCAAATCTCGAGATTAGCAAAGTTTATTTATAATTGTGCAGAGAGGGTGCTTTCAAGACGTTTGAAAAATGCAATTTCCGTGAAAAATACTCGTGTAATCGCAGGGAGGCACGTATTTCAGATGGATGGAAGATGGAGAGAGGAGAATGAGAAACTCCGGCATGCTCGTGTTTTGAAATTCCATTACAAAACAAGATGAGGTCAGTGCAACAGTTCATTAAGAGGTATATTTCCTCTGGACACTTCAATGTACGTTTGAAAGGAGAGAAGTCCTCCAGCGTTTTATATTTTAACTTTGAATCCTCTTTTCCATAAAAACTATATTTCTATACAAAACCTGAGTCTTTTTTAGGTAAGTTTCACTATCGTGATCATTTCGTTTTTCACAATCCAATTCTATTTCTTTGCCATAAATTAACCAGTCCTGTTCCTTTCAGATTTAACCATCCTTTTCCAATGCTCGAATTTCCAAAAAATCCAGATCTGAGTCCTAAAGAGAAAGAGAGAGAAAAAAAAAAATAAATTCGTAAAGTGTAGACACGTGTTGAGATATGAATATTTTCGATTTCTTCCCGCGTGTCTCCAGGGGAGAATCCTTTCAACGGTAGACGCTACCAGAGTTCACGGCGGTAACCAGTTTCTGGCGAGTCATAAATACCTGGCACGTTCCTCGGAGAAGGGTTTCTGCGACCCTAAATCAAGGTCAGTACCCGACGTACGTCGTCGTAGTC